TTTTTTTTTTTTTTTTTTTTTTTTTTTTTTTTTTTGAATGGGCCCACGAGCCCCAACTGCCGAACCTCGTCCAACCCCCGAAAAAGTTAGGAAAAGATGGGAAAACAGCCAGTAGCCCCATTGTCCCATTTTTCCCAAGTAGTCCCATTTTTCCCAAGAGTGACATAGTTAGTGGTGGTTTTAAGGGCCTAGTGTGAGTATCCTCTCATTGCTCGGATATCAGCCAACACCATTTGCATACTATGGGCCTCGTTAGATCCTCCTTGGAAAATCCTCAGGAATTAGGATGCAGTCCTTGGGAAAATTTCCGGTTTTCGGCGGCGTCGTTACACCGCGTCCTAATTCAATGGGTTTCAAGGAAAACCCTTGGAGGTCTCCAGCGGCCAATTTCATACGCATACACGCGGCCGCGGGGGTGGATGTCCGTCATCGTGCTGGGATGTCCGTGCGTCCTCGGGCGTGGTCCAGTGGCAGTGGCAGGGAGGTGACGAAGGAAAAGGGCGCCAACATCGCCGTTCCAATTTCAAATTTTGAACCCCTCCGTTGTGACACATCCGTGTGTGAGGCGTTCTAGCGGCTGGACTGGAGACTGAGGCAAAACGTCTGTGCGGAGGAGTGATGGAGGCCATGGCTTAAGAGGAGGGCATTGGAACGTTGGGGGACGTAGCATGTATGCGACGTTGTCTTCGTGTTCTGCATGCTCTTCGGGCCGTCACAGCCTAGCGAGAATGTAACACTTCCGTGAAACGTGGAAAGTGCGAGCGCGGTCCCCATCGACGTGCAAAAGGTGCAGCGAGGGCGTCGACAGGCGAACGAGTGGTGAGTGCTTGCGCATTGCAAGTCCTGACGATGGAACGAGAGCTCCTGGGTGGTGTGAAGGCATTAACGGCATTGGAGAGAAACACGGTGGTCGCAGCTGTGTCAGTCGTCGCCATGCATTATCGCATTGAGAGAACGACAACTCGCATGAGGATGAGATTGTCCGTTCGCAGGCAGAGGCAGCTGATGCAACAAGTGATGGATGCACCGGATTGTGTGTCGCTATCGGAATCGATTGTGCAATTTTGCTGCGCCATGGCATCGGGTGTGATCCCGAGGGCGACGCTGAGATGGTGGATGAGGAGAAGGATAGGAGGGACATGGGAGGATCTCCGACAGGTTGATGACGTGGCGGGGGGCTATTCCAAGGAGAAACTGCGCAGTGGAGTAGTCAATGGCGCCCGTCGGCTATGTGCTGAGGTTTCCCGCCTGTCCATCAGTCTTCCTCACCGTTTGTCGTTTCTGTCTGCTGTCAGGACCCTGCACATCAACGCACACGTGGAACAACACGGCAAGGAGCAGGAGAAGAATGGCCAGCAGCACGAGCTGGAACCGTCGGAGGACGTCTGCCATGAATCCCAGCATGCGAGGCTGTACCAAACATGCTTGCATCAATGCTCCTGACAATAGCCGACAAAACACGCTAGGCAGATGTCTGCAATCGACCAACAGTGCTTCAACATCGCTTGTAGACAAATAAAAAAATTCGACCGTTGGACACCACGGCCGGCGACGCATGCATGGAAAACCCTGCTTCGTGAAGCGCCTTGCAGCTGAAGAACCAACCTCACGCATTTCCACGCCAACGGTAACGGTGGAAGGCCGTTGGGGGCCCGTCGGGTACTGGAGGCCGGCGATGTCCGCCCAGTGGACCACAGACAACCTGCGCACCTACATCAATTCCAAATTTTCCTATCGGCGCTCGTCCAGAACACTCCGTCAATTGCGGCTCCTTGAACCCAAAGGACCTCACGAGGACCCCTTAAATCCAAGGACGTTTTTGGCTGGGGATCCCGAGGAATCCAAGGAAATCTCTCGGGAGCGTTTTCACATTCATTCAAGGAATTTGGTGAATTAGGACGCGGTGTAACGACGTCGATTTCCTAAAAATCGGATTTCCAAGGAGGGTCTAACGAGGACCTATGCATAGTGCATTTATTTGACAATAAATTTGCCCCCCCCCCCCCCCCCCCC